TCTACACAAATTCTTAACAGATGAAGAATTATCGTACAGATATTAGGCTTGGAGCTGAGATTGTTATCACCACCATGAACTCAGGAGATATTTAGAGAGCGCCATGATTGACTGTCCAATCTGTGCAGCCACACGCCATTAGTTTGAGTTAACATTGTACCCGATTGACTGAGATCAGGTCAGGAATAATGGAGACTGGGGATTGAAATATCATTAGTCGAGCCAATGATGAATCAAGAAAAATACTCTAAAGACAGCTGTTATATGAACCACAGATTCCAAGTGGTCTTTTGGTCTGTAATGTTTGCTTAAAAAACTAAAAAAGTTTAGGATGGTTGCACCTTATCTTTTATGTTTTATATGTAGCATCCAGGGACGTCCACGCATGCATGTTCATGTATTTGAAGTTGTGGTCTGTTGCGTGACTCACTAATCTGCCAGCTCACCAGTGGCCTTCTCTTCTTTTCTTCACACATACACATACACACACACACACACACACACACACACACACACACACACACACACACACACACACACACACACACACACACACACACACACACACACACACACAGAGAGACTTTTAAATACCCAGCAACAAGAAAGCTGAGTACTCTAAAATGAAAGGATTCATTTTAGCTCATGAACTTGCAAAAAACTCCAGACTTGAAAGGCAAAAATTGAATTGTTGAAATTAATCAAATAGAAACTCTAAGAGAGTGTGTGAGAAAGAGATAGTTCTCAACTCCATTAGTGCACTTTAGGCATTAGTGAACTGTGTTTTTCAGTTACTTTTGGAGGATTTTAGAGGCGGGCCATTGATCAAGAAGACACCAGCTTGGCACTCACAGCTACTCAAAGGCTGGCAGATGGCATTAGGAAAATAAAGAGTCTTCCAAAAAGGGTTGTCTTCTATAAAATCCCGAAACGTCTAATACTTGGATAGCCATTTCATGATGTCATGTTCTGCAGATTCTGTATAATGCACATCCGCCCTGGGAACTATAATGGAAGAGAAAATTAGAGCTAGGTAAACCACAGCATCCTCCATAGACTGTAGACATGAAAGGATAATTTCACCCATGTATTTCCAAGAAGGATTTATCATTTATGTCTTGTTAGCCTCTGGCTTTAGTAACCCAGTTTGTTGTTCCTATTTGCATTGAATGAAGGAGATTCCTGGTCTCAAGACACCACTGGTGGAATCCTTTCTTTACTCTCTCCCAGTTGCTGTTTTTAGACTTTCTAGTGGCATACTAGGCAACAACGCTCATGCACACACCGTGAACCTTCCCTCCTCTCTCACACTTCCTTTTCACTTCCATGACACCCTCTCTCCTTCCTTCCCTCTGTCGAGTATGTAGAAACAGCCACAGGGGTGTTCCCTCAGAGCTGCAATTACAGTCAAGAAAAGTGTGTTATCCTCTCTGCATATTCACATATATTCTGTGTGTGTGTGTGTGTGTGTGTGTTCGTGCGTTTGGCTCACCCCAGTTATTTTCTGCCTGTTCCAGGGATTTCCATGCTGTAGGACCTAGACATTTCCCAGTGGTGTGACTATGTGTGTAAAAGTATGCGTGCATGCTTTTCAGTATTTGCTCTGTCACTGTCTCCTTCAGTGATTAGGCCCGTCTCCGTCCCCGACTGAGGTTTAGTCTTTTTTCCCTCCCGTGGGAAATGTCGACATGAGGCTGATTTGCCTGCATCTACCACTTTTTTTAGAGTCTGTGCTGCATTTGACTGGGCCGTCTGAATGTGTGTATGTATGTGTGTATGTGTGCGTGCATGCATTTGTGCAAAATTGTCCCTACGTGTCTCGCTTGCTCGCTTGAGTCTGGCCAGCACTGCATCTGGTTCCGTGATGAGACATCTGCAATCGGGAACTTAACGCGATTACCGAGGTACAATGGCCGCAGGGACTGGAAGGGGTCGAGGCACGGATGGATGGCTGAAGGGATGACACTCCTCCAGGAGGTTGCAGATGTAGCAGTGGGGGATGCTTGAGGTGGAGCATGTCCTCTAAGACACACACCTTCACCTGTGAAGAGACCTTAGCTTATCTTTAGTGTTGTCATTTTCACACATTTCTCCTTTTTGTTTTTTGTCTCCCTTCTCTCTTGCTGGTCTGCTTTGTTTTTTCTCTCTTTCTTTGCCCTCCTTCTGTCCTGTCTGCTTTCTGTTGCCTTTCCTTGTCCCCTGCCCTCTGCCCTGTAATGTCATGTTTTGTTAAAATTAAGACACTTTTTTTCCCCATGATCTTGTTCATTTCTCCCAATGGGCTTGTTCTTTTTGTCCAAGTTTATTTAGCTTTGCTGTTCTCTGACCTTCCTCCCTGTTTCTCTCCTGATAGAGTTGACAGGTTGTGTTTGAATTCCCTCATACACACACACACACACACACACACACACACACACACACACACACACAGACAATCCCTACCTATTTTTCCTCCTCCCAAAACCCTCCTCCCTCGTTCCCTCCCTCTGTCCTGGTCGTGTACGGGCAGTGGCACTCACTCACTTCCATTGACAGATTACTTTCCTAATGGAATTTAATTATTTATCCCTTCCTCATGGCGATTTAGCCAGGAAAAGACCGACAGCAGGAGCATGAGGGAGGACAGGGCAGGAGGGGAGGGCGGAGGGAAGAGGAAGGGAGAGGCGCTCATTTCCTCCAGTGGCAAGAAACTGGATCACCTCTGTTTTGATTTGGAGAGATGTCATTCAGAGAGAGAAGGCAGGGGAGTGAGGGATGTTGGAAGGAGGAAAAGGAGAGAGGTAAACAGAGAAAAGAGAAAGACAGAGCATGAATGATGACATATACAGAGAGTTTGGTGCCCTACTCTCTGGCCCAAACAATCACAGAAACTTATTTTTTATCACTTATGAGGACAGTGCATTGACTTACATTCATTCTCTGAACACTTAACGGCAATTACTGCATGCCTAACTCCAATCCTAAACCTAATTTAAGCAGAAAAACTCTGTCTTAACTCTGAAATTCAGTGTTTTACCTGATATGGTAACCAGCCTTTTGTGCTCAGTTGTGAGGTGAGCCCTCATATGTGACTGTGTGACTAGATTTCTTTCCCCGAAATGTGACACATACACACACACGCACACACACAAACACACACATAAACCTTTGCAAGTCTCTGCAGAGAACATGAGTGTTAGACAACCTGTCTGTGCTTTCCTCTCTACCTCATCACTCGCTGTCACACACACCTCTCTGTCTTTTTCCTGTATCTCCTTTTTTCTTTCTTCTTGTATCATCTCTCACTGTGTTTCTCTCTTTTTTGACTCCCTCTTCCTTCTCCCCCCCTTTCTCTCTCTCTCTCTCTCTCTCGCTGGGGATCCTAATTAAGCTTGGCTGCTCTTTGATGTTGTCGCCTTGGCAACAGTCACCATGACGAGGCTAGGTCTGCACACTCTCTCTCAAACTCACTCAGGCATACACAAATACGCACAAGTACAGTACACACACAAATGCAAACACACACACACGCTCACTGAAATCATTAAAGAATACAGCCAGCGTTTGACCCTTGGTTCAAATGATACCTTACACAATGACTAAGGCGTATGCGTAGGCTACACGTGTGTGCACACACATGTTGGCTACATGTATGCACACATGTCAAAACAGCAGAAAAATCAACACGTATATCCTGCTGAGCCAGATAGAGATAACAGTGATATATGCAGTGTGTGTATCTATAGGTGGTTGAGGAAGTGGAAGAGCTTCATCAGTGACCAGTTGGCCGTGACACAGAGCGACTGGCTGTCATGCCCGTTTGCTCTGATGTTTGACCTGTTGTTGTATTTTTTGTTTTCCTAAATAAATGTTTGTGTGGGCTGAAAGCCCTTGAGATGAATCATGTGGTAAAGAGCAATTGTTAGCACGAGCTGTTTCTCAAGGCAGTACGGAATCTGGTAAACTCTGATTTACAGCAGGGGAGTTCCTCATTTCTCTCACTGTGCCCTGGCCTTTCTGTTCAGGCACTATGTTGTACTTCTCTCTCTCTTTAACCTTTTCCGTCCAAGAATCTCCTTTCAAGACATTTTTGTTCATAATTGAGTCCTAAACATGTTATTTTATTTTAATAAATGGAAAGATGTAGCCTATGCAACTGTGCTGCTACATTGCAAGATTCCAGCGTGACTCATTATGTTTTGTTTACACACATAAATTCAAGTACTGTGCTGGAAACAGGTTAAAATAATTTTAATGCACTGGAAAACTCCCTTGTTTGAAGAAAGTAAGTCTCAAAAGACCAACTTGACTAAAAAAGATGGAGGGGTTTTTTTTGCAGTGTCCTCCTTTCCCTTATACTTCCTCGACCCTATCTTTATCTCTTCATTTCCTCTGCACTTCATCCATCTCTTTCCACCGCCCTCTCCTCTCATCAACCCCACCTCCCCACCACCACCACCACCACCACCACCCCCCAGTTCCTGTCAGCACCGTCTGGAGGAGGGCCCCTGTAATAAAACCTGCTCTTACCACTTCCTTATAACTACGGCTTAGGCGACAGTATCAAGAGTAACCACAGCAATTACAACCACAAAACAACAACATACAAGGAAAACTGTAATTAAAGTAACACTGTTGTGGCACGTGCTCACGAGACAAGCAGAAATACTGGCAAAATGATTGTGATTGTAATAATTAGGAACCTTTTTTATTTAAGAGCAGCCACTTCAGATGACTTGGCATCTTTGGTTTAATTTTAGTAAGAGTTGTAGGTTATATGAAAATGAGCCAAAGCACTGTGCGGGACTGAATAGATTACTGATTAGATGGATGATATTCTACATCTCAGGAAAAGACTCTAAATTGCTGCTGGTTCCTTTAATCATCAGATCAGTCAGCTGTACTGATGAGTGGACTGTGCCAGCAGAGGATTATGATGAAAAGTTTGCACAGTGACGCATTAAAACAAGTGTAACTCCTTCCCTCTCTTAACTCTCTTCATGTCCTTCCTGTCCCTGCAGCTGTTTGTCATCGACAACGGAGCTGACGACTGGCGCATCGCCATGACGATGGAGAGGGTTCTGCTGATCGCTCTGGAGCTGCTGGTGTCCGCGGTGCATCCAGTGCCCGGGGACTTTAAGTTTCAGTGGCGGGCGCGGCTGGCCTTCTCGTATGCGCCGTCACAGGCCGAGGCTGACCTGGACATGGTGCTGAGCGTGCCCATGTTCCTGCGCCTCTACCTCATCGCCAGAGTCATGCTTTTGCACAGCAAACTCTTCACCGACGCCTCCTCCAGGAGTATAGGTGCCCTAAATAAGGTCAGAAGGATTTTGTGCTTGCAGGTGTGTGTATGTGCAGTATGCCTTCAAGAATGTGGTGGCCAAAGCTTTAGCCAGGAATAGGTGTGGGAGTTGTAAATGTATTAAGGTCAAGAGCTCTCTCCTCTGAATTAAATCTGTGTCCACATGGTCCTTTTCATTCCTGGCCTCTATCTCTCTAACTATCTCAAGTCCTTTCCTTCTGCTCTGTCCTTCTAGTCACCCTGTTTCTTTTCATCTACCAGCTCAAACCCCCTTCCTCTCCTTTTGTTATCACTGTGCATAGAGACTTAGATCTAAGCTGTGGTGCATCTTTCATAATACAATATGATATGGGAGCGTGAAATGGGAACAAGATATTGCATAGGGCTCAAATGGGGCATGACAAGAAAGGACGACGACTCGAACGAGATTGCAATACAAGTGCAGAGAAATGTGTACAAGCCATGCAATAAATGATTGGTGCCAGGTTTGTAATGACTTTAAACGATGAACATTATTGTAAAGTCAGGAAGTAGAGATGTAGCGTGAGGAGGAAATATGCAAACTAGTAGGACAGGAGGAGCAGGAGAGATGGAGTAGATTTTGGATGAGTAATTTAGCAGGTTGCGAGTGTATCTGCGATGGCACTAGTTTGACCCTCCGGCTACAGTGATGGGGACGAGAGGTGAAGCTGCCATTGAAGTGCAGCTCTAACATGACAGCTCATTTATCATCTGCTTAACCCTTCCAGGGCTCAACCATTGCTCTCGGATCATCCATCTGCCAGAAGTTGATGACAAACGACCCACAGATAAAAACTAAACCGAAATAGGCCAATTACTCAAAGACACTGTATATCTTGACCCCGAGTCAGAGGGCGAGCCCTGATTTCGACTCCAATTACAGTGGAGATTCTCTGAGTGCTGCCGCTATCAAAAGCTACTCAGAAGACTGATTAGTAAAACATCAAGTCTGTGTGGGGAACGGAATGAGGATTCAGAATTACACAATACTAACCTTGAAAACAATATATACTCCAATGTAATTTATCACCTCCGCTATACTGAGTGTGTGTGTGTGTGTGTGTGTGCTTGTGTGTGTATTGCAGGTGCATTTTAACACACGGTTTGTAATGAAAACCCTCATGACTATCTGCCCCGGGACGGTGCTGCTGGTCTTCAGCATCTCTCTGTGGATCATCGCTGCCTGGACCGTACGAGTGTGCGAGAGGTGAGTAACAAAGCCGGTTGATTTAGGTTGCGTGTGTTTTTTGTTTTTTTAATTGTCAGTGTTTGCATGAGACTGTGGACGTTGATTGGATGAGGAATTCAAATGAGCAGTTCACTTCAATTGGCAGGAAGTATAATCTGGGACATGTGTGCAACATAATCCATCTTTAAGACTTCAGTTTATAAGGCTTTCTCACCAGTTGTACATTTAATTTGATTCAGGCGATAGAGTTGTTACTTCATTTGTCCATTTGTCTCATAAATGAGCAAAGACAACTTTGGTAACACTTTATCTTAACCCTCCCCCCCATTCTGCACACTTGCCCACTGTAATGTAGTTTTAAGCAGATATAAAGACATAAATATTTGATAATATACTTTACATATAAATGAATGATTGATAACACTCTATTACATAGTTGGAATCACAGTACAGTAAATGATAAATTAATATGGGGTTATACTGAAATGATCCAGTCCTTTTACCATCTTTCAGAGAATTTTTCATAGTTTTTTCTGGGGGTTTATGTCCTGAAAGTTTTTCTATATTCACAGGTAGAAGAATACGTGTTGTACTTAAGTACTTAACAGCTGTACCTAATGGTTGTGCAGACTAAACCAGCCAGCTGATACTCAAATAGCTACCGACCTAGCCATCTGACTTTTACCTAGGAACTGTTTCAAATTGTAAATCAAAATGTTCACTTACATTTTGAGATTTATCATGTTACGAGTTATGTAATGTTATTGATGAACCATCAAGAGGAAAGCAAAAAGTGACCATCCCCTTTGATGTGTTTAAACACTTCTGGAGATAATCAAGGAAATATGAGAAAATGTCAGTTGGTTAATCAGCTTGATTAAATGCATCATTGCCTGGCTGCTGGGAAGTCGTTGTTTGGTCTACATCCAAGTGTAATTGGCATTTCCTCTGCTCTCCAAACCAAATTATCGAAGGGAAAAAAAACATATAAAATTCAATTAAACTGCTTCAAACAAGAAAGAATTTCAGAATTTGGAGAATTCAGGCTAGAGAATAGAGAGCTCAGAGCAAATATATCTATCGCTAACATCCGTGGCTAAACTTTATGGGGATTCTTTGTTGAACAGTTTTTTGAGCAAACAACTTTGTTTCAGATCTTCACCAGGTTTGGTTGCTACGGCAACATTGTTGTGCATAGGGCAGGAATGATGGAGGCAAGAGCCGCAGTTATGTGTTATGTTCTGTGTCAGACGAAATTGAAGGACACATGTTTGAGGTTTGACGCCCACATCTGCAGACAGGACCCGTGGGCCAGTTATGTTGTTTTTATTTATTCACATCTTTTTTACTATTGACTGACTTTATCCTCTGAACATGGACGGTATTTCTGTTTAGGTATCATGATGCCCAGGATGTGACCAGTAACTTCCTGGGAGCCATGTGGCTTATCTCCATCACTTTCTTGTCCATCGGCTATGGAGACATGGTTCCTCATACCTACTGTGGCAAAGGAGTCTGTCTGCTTACAGGAATCATGGTCAGTATATTTCCTCTCTCCCCTCTCTTTCTATCTACCTCTCTCTCTCTCTCACTCTCCCTCCCCCTTGGTGCTGTCCTCGCCTCGTTCAAAGGTCAGCAGATTAGAGAGCATGCTGTCATTTGTGAGAGAAATTCTGCCATTTGTGTAATTTGGGCAATCCTCCCTGAATTAGCCTGCATCTGTGCCTCTGTGTGTTTTGGGTGTGTAGGCGTGCAAACAAGAGCACGTTCGTGGTTTGTGTGTGTGTGTGTGTGTGTGTGTGTGTGTGTGTGTGTGTGTGTGTGTGTGTGTGTGTGTGTGTGTGTGTGTGTGTGTGTGTGTGTGTGTGTGTGTGTGTGTGCATGCATGCGTGCGTGCGTGTTATTCCCATGTCTGTCCTCATTGCATAATGAAGGTCCCACCTTTCAGTGTGCCATGTCCTCCCACTCTTTCTCTCTCTCTCTCTCTCTCTCTCTTTCGTTTTCTTTATGTACCACTATCTACCTCTCCCTTGTTGTGTCTTTCATTCTATTTATCCCTCCATCTCTCTTTTCCTCTCTGTCCATCTCTCCTTCCCGGAGGCCATGTGTTTATTTCTATCTACCGTCCATCTGTTAGTATGAGTGTTTAAGCTGCCGACTGCTCCTATATTTGCTTCACTTCACAGGTGTCCTTCCCTCCTCAAACTATTTCTTTCTCTCTGCCATTCTCGCTTCTTTCTTTGTCTCATTTCCTGCTCTGTTTTGTCTACTGGCATTTTCCCTCTTCATCTCTAGCTTGATTTTGTGTAAAGGAATAAGATTTTGGAAATTGATCCAGTTGGTCATCTCATTTAGTAATTGTAATGTAGACACTACTCATCTTTTCCCATGCAATCACTGTAAAATACACTTTTCTGAATGATTCAAGGAAATTAGTGTCTTTTTTGAATGCCAGATCATTGGAATTTCTTAATAGCTCTACAGCTAAATGTCAAGTTATCTCAAATTAAATGTGATAATAAACAATGGTGGCTTTTGTTGATTTTGTAAGGTCAGGAAAGACAAAAATAGGACTAAAAATATAATGTTGATATGTTACCTGGGAATACTTTTCTCATAGGACACAATGTGCCACATGTTTTACATTGCCAAAGGGGAGAGCACAGTGAGTAATAGTAGAGTCTGTACAGCTAAAGAGCTGCGCAGTGTGCTCACCTTTGTTTTTGGATAATGTAGTTTTTAAAACAAATTATGTAAAAAGATTACTTTTCTGAATTACAGACTCATGTAATGCATCAAGTACTACATCATCAATGTTTTTTCCAAAAATAGCATTCCTGCAAAAAGATAAGGAAGCCTGGATAAGACATTTAAAATGTCATTTTCATTAACTAAACAATGCCATGGATGCCACGTTTGCCCTTTGCATGTTTTTAAAACCTGAGGGAATAATTGTGCATAAGCTTTTACTCATAGAAAAATCCCAGTAGCAGAGTGTAACATAATGTAACATAAAGGCAATGTGCTCATACAAATGACGAGCACCACTTAACATTTTAAAAAGCACATCTAAACAGTCCTCAGATCAGTCAAGTTACATATTAAGATGGGATGATGTAACCGCTGGCTCAGTTATTATAACAACAGAGCTTTTGAATTGTTTTTGTTTCATCAAGAAGAAGAAGATAATAAGCTGCTAAAATTTGCTTTTTATTACCAATACCATCACTGTGGGTAGCTTCCATTTCCACACTTGCGTACATACCTAGTCCTTTTGCTCTTGAGTGTGTTTTGTGAATGCTCAAGCTTGGCCTTACAATGCAGTTTAATGACTGCTGGATGATGGTTCAAGAAAAATCAAGAGCGTGAATTGGATAGTCCTCAACATAACTCTCTAAAGTCCATGAGTATTTTCCACAGGGAAGACACTTCACTTAATATGCTTACTAGTGTTATTTGGAAATTAATGCACTATTAGTCTTTAACCTTTTATAATGAAAATTTGCTATTTAACATTGTAGTGTAGTGTGCATGACTGGCTGGAATCATCTACTAGGCTCACATAGATGATTTTGTTGTCTGTATTACTCACTACCTACTTCCCCAAAACTCCCAAAAACCTGCATGTGTATTCTTTCATCCTCACAGTGTCGGTCCAACCTCTCTGTATTTGCCAGCTCACCTACTTTTTTTACTTTATAGTCCATTAAATGTGTGAATAAACACACTCATGCACAAAGAAACACACACACACACAGACCCCGATTTGCTGGGTGAATCATCCAATTTGTGCTTTAGAGTACAACTCTTACTATAATGTTAGCACACACACACACACACACACACACACACACACACACACACACACACACACACACACACACACACACACACACACATAACATGGGATGGATACAGAGTGTCCCAAGCCCACTGTTACAGACTGCATCCTCCACACAAACACTGACACAGAGCTTGACATACACTCTTAGTATGACTCCCACACTCACTCTCCTCTACTGTCACACACACACAAACACACTCTTGCTCAAAGTGGTTTATTTTCGTTGATCATCAGAGAAAAGGTGAGGATGCAAGAAAGATGAGGCTTGTGGCAGGGGCAAAGGGGTAAAAGGTGGAGGACAAAAAGCAGGATTTTATTTTTTTTTCATGGTTGAGAATTATTGTAATGAGTTTCTATAGGAGAACTTCTCGCCATCGTTACTATGACAACACATGAAGGCCATCACTGCCCCGAGGCTACCTGGGGGTTTGCCAGGTGTAAGTGTGTATGCGTGTGTTGAAGTGTTGTTGTGGGTGAGTGGATGGTGGCAGGGTGAGAGTTTACCTTACCACCTTCCACAACACGTTTAAATACAGGGAACTATCTGTTGTTCTTGTATGCAGCCAAAAGTGTATGTTGTCTAACTCACAACTCATAGCGAATAATGCAATTCATGTATGCATGTCTTCATTTGCATTCTTATTCTTCTTCATGCATGTTAAAATGCACTCTACTTTAATTCCCTCCAATTAGCATTCATAAGCAGTATATACACATTTATTAAATGGTTTATTCCATACTATAATGTAGTTATATGCATATAAGTAAATTCAGGTATTTGTCAACAACTGCAGTATAACTCCTCCTGTGGACATCATGTACATGTATCAGTGTACATCTTTATTATTTTTGGTTATAAGCCATTTATCATATGTTTACATAATGCCCATAAATGCCATATGGAGGGTCGGGGTTAAAGTAAAGTGTTTTTGTTTTTCTTTCATCTACTACAGCCTCTTGATATATTGTAGTTCGGGATGGGTCATCTGGTTAGAGAGATTAGCTGCCATTTCAGACCTATTTTGCGCTTTTGTCTGACTCTAAGTGCTTGCATTGTGCACACTAATTGAGCAAAGTAAATGTCACATTTTCTGTGTCTGTTGAACATCTTCTCCTTATTCCTCTATTCGTTCCTGCTGACCTGTTTCAGAAACTATTTTCCCCTTCTCCTGCATGAAGCTAAAGCGATGCAGTTTTTACCTGGAAGTGTGTTGATGTTACACAGACACACAGATGGGTGATTCCCCCTTTTTTTCTGACAGCTACATCGATGGCTGCGCTGTAGTGGAGGAAGCGAGGGAAACACCCAGGCGTATGAAACAAATCACAGCAGCGCAGCCATCATCAGCCGTGTCACTATGTGGAGATTGCACAGGGAACCCTGCTGAAATCAAATGGATGCAGGCATATACACAAACAAACTCTCATACATACACAGACACACACACACACACACGTGCACACTCTTCCATGCACATACACACATAGCCTGCCTTGACAGACTAATCAGCACCCCACTGTTTCTGACCGAGGAGGACAATTTTGAACACACACAAAAACACACACACACACACACACACACACACACACACAGTTGGAAATGTGCACACTCGCACTGCACTTGTACATGCTGTACTGTAGCAATTTTGTAGAAGGTTCTTTTACCTAAAGCACAGACATGTATGAATGCTCTAAGGGTTTTCCATCGGCTCTCATCATATTTTATTCATAGTTTTTGAATAAACACAAATAGAGTGGATGAGTGTATAGACGTGGGCACTAATGCCTGTTTGTGCGTTACATTTTTACTGAACCCAGCCAAAGTTATTTTTGGCGAACCTGTCTTATCGTTCAAGAGTGTGCGCGATGAAGTCTTGGCTATTTCCTACACGCTTCAAAATGTTGCATGCTCCCTCGCTCTCACTCTCCAACTCACTATGTTATATCTCTTTTATTCTCCCTCTCTCTCCCACTGTGAGACTCACACACTCACAAGCAGGAAGGAAGAGCACTCATACATTTTCATTAAACACTCTTAATCTTAATTCATTACTTATCAGGAGATATGTGACCTCATTAACATTGCCTTCTTCTCCATCTTTCTCTCCTCCTATCCTGTGCACACACCCTCGCCTCCAGCATTCATCCCTCTCTCCAACTGGTCCCTCCGTGTTTCCTTCCTTCCCCATTTATATTTACTCATAGCTCTTCACTGTCTTTATCTTTTCTTCCCTTCTCCGTTTTTTTTCTCTCGGTGCCTGCCCCTTCAGAGGAACCTGTGAGCACTCAACAGCCCCATTGAAAACAGTGTCTAATCTGAAAGTTAATTAAGTCTGTCTTCCTCCCCGTGTTCCTGCTCCTCTTCTCCTCTCAAGCATGTCTTTCTGGTTGAGAGACTGCTGTCACTCTCTCTCAAATGCATTTGCCATATGTCCCATGTGGGCCGAGCTGGAATACAGACAAACCAGTCTGTGTTTTACACTTTTACACTTCCTGCAGGCCTCGAACCTCCGGTGACAAGAGAAGACTGACACCATGTAATTCGAATTGACAGCATCTAATTAAATGAAATTTGGTGGTGTCAATCTTTGAAGTGTTTTTTTTTTTCATCTATAAGGGGCATATTTTTCAGCTACATATAGAGGCGATATAGAAGGGATCTCACACCAGATGGATTGGAAGTGAAAATAGACTTGGCTTGCCTCTCGACATGAGGAAATGTGGATCTGGAACAGAGCTATCCCTCTTAATCCTCTCCTCTCTCCCATTCACTTCTCCTTCTGTCGTGCGGCTCCCTTCCTCATATTTGTCCTCGCTCCCTTCAATCATCTGGGCTAATTCCCTGGCCAAAAAGCCACCGATTTACCAATTCCTCCTCTTTACTGACTGACTCAGTGCTCTGTTTTCTCCTCCTCCTCCTCCTCCTCCTCCTCCTCCCCCCCTGCCTCTTCTCTCTCAGGGTGCAGGCTGTACGGCTCTGGTGGTTGCCGTGGTAGCCAGGAAGCTGGAGCTGACCAAGGCCGAGAAACACGTACACAACTTTATGATGGACACGCAACTCACCAAGAGGGTGTGTAGGCTTGTGTGGTATCGCTGGTGTGAATGAGTGTGTCTTGCATAAATAAAACAAAACTATAATTTTGAAAAGAAAGCATATATTTTCTTCATGCACTGTGGTGGAATAGAACTGTAATTTAGAAAAGTACAGTTTGTATGTGTTATTGTCCTTTTGGGTGATGTTTTACTATATTTTCAGATTACTTTGGGGTTGAAGACAAGGTGGTTGAAAGCTCTGCAAAACGGCTTGTCATTTCACTGCCCCTCCTTCACCATCCCCAACTTCTACATCACACTATCACCCTGTATTGTTGTGACAAACTGCCATGTTATTTGAGTGAAGGCAATAAAAGGTCATCTCTTTCTCACCCTCTCTGTTCTGCTCTCTCACTTACCGTCTCTCTCTTTCTTTCCATCTCCGATACTTTTCCTCCCACATGGCCATCCCTCCGCCCAACTGCCTCCCCTCTCCTCTGACATTTGTCTCTCTTTCAGTAAAACCCTTTTTCCTTTCTCTCTTTCTCTCTATCTATCACCGTCTCTCCTCTCCTCCCTCCTTTGCCCTCTAGTTCCCTTCGTCCTTTCCCCCTTCATGCTTCCTTCTCTCCATCTCTCACTCCCTCCCTCCTCCCTCCTCCAGTCCTTTTCAATTTTTCATACAGTTGAAAGACCCAAGTTTTAAAAATAGCTCCCATATCAAATATGTAGGGTACATTATGGCAGCAGGGTATCTGGGTGACTGAATGGTGTAGGGTGATCAATAATTTCATCTTAGATAAAATATCGACAGAGCAGTCAAATGGACTCTCTGTTGGAGCCGGGCTCTCACCTCATCTTCCTGTAGACTCTGTCCAGGTCAGCCGGTCTGTTTTCACAAGATGATTAACACCTTGAACTGTCTATGTGTGTGTGTGTGTGTGTGTGTGTGTGTGTGTGTGTGTGTGTGTGTGTGTGTGTGTGTGTGTGTGTGTGTGTGTGAGAGAGAGAGAGAGAGAGAGAGAGAGAGAGACAGAGAGTTTCTGTATGTAGATTATTTACAATCTTGAATTCAGCTGACCACCTAAAGCAGTTGTTCCCAACCTGTGTCTGATGAATGCTTTTTAAACTGGATGTTATTTAACATGATTAATTATATAAAAGTGGATATTGTTCTAATATTTTTATATACAATACACACTGATCTTGGAATTGTCATATTTAGACTTTGTCTCTTTCTAAAGTCTTCTTTAAAACTCCATTTGACTTGGATATCTCAACAACCTCAGCTGTACTTGTTTTGTGCAAGTGTAAACCCAACGTCACAAATTGGTTTGTGGAGTATCGCTTTGAAGCCTCGAGTCTGGCATTATAGTCATTGCCATTGTTGTTTTTTCAGAGCCAACGGCAGTGACGTACTCTACATGAGTTGCACTCATGGGCAGCGCAGTTTTGACTCATCCGTGGCAGGAAACAATGGAAGGTCTCACATGCAGTGACACAATAAATGACCATAAATGGGATCATAATTTACTAAATGAACTTGAAACTAGCAATCAAGACCATAAACTCATTCAGAAACTGTTTACTGAGCTAATAAATCAAGTCAGAAGTAGGGTCATTTTTTCATAAAACTCAATACTATCAGACTTTTTTGGAGCCCAAATTATGCCTACTTGACATCAGCATGTTAGCATAGTCATTGAGATTAAACTAGTATGCTCATGTTAGAGCTTAGCTCAAAGCATGGCTGTAGGCTGTTACTTTGGTAAGTTTGGTCAAGTTTGTATTCATTCACAGCCTATTTATATCGTTATGGAAACTCACATTTATACTAACTGTGGTAGATAACTGCACAATAATTCATTTATCCATTAGTTTTAGAAATTTCAACTTCCCCGCGTGTCTTCTGCAGTCGTGTTCTAATAGCCGGTTATTGTGACTGTAAATATACTAAAGACTGAGGTCTCGTCTACATGTATAGCAGATATTTAAAATATACACTACCAGTCAAAAGTTTGGACACACGTTCTCATTTAATGGTTTTTCTTTATTTTCATGACTATTTACATTGTAGATTCTCACTGAAGGCATCAAAACTATGAATGAACACATATGGAATTATGTAGTAAACAAAAAAGTGTGAAATAACTCAAAACATGTTTTATATTTTAGATTCTTCAAAATAGCCACCCTTTGCTTTGATTACTGCTTTGCACACTCTTGGCATTCTCTTGATGAGCTTCATGAGGTAGTCACCTGAAATGGTTTTCCAACACTCTTGAAGGAGTTCCCAGAGATGCTGAGCACTTGTTGGCCCTTTTGCCTTCACTCTGCAGTCCATCTCATCCCAAACCATCTCGATTGGGTTTAGGTCAGGTGACTGTGGAGGCCAGATCATCTGGTGCAGCACTCCATCACTCTCCTTCTTGGTCAAATAGCCCTTACACAGCCTGGAGGTGTGTTTGGGGTCGTCGTCCTGTTGAAAAATAAATGATGGTCCAACTAAACGCAAACCGGATGGAATGGCATGATGCTGCAGGATGCTGTGGTAGCCATGCTGGTTCAGTGTGCCTTCAATTTTGAATAAATCCACAACATTGTCACCAGCAAAGCACCCCCACACCATCACACCTCCCATGCTTCACGGTGGGAACCATGCATGTAGAGACCATCCGTTCACCTTTTCTGCATCGCACAAAGACACGGCACGTGGAACCAAAGATCTCAAATTTGGACTCATCAGACCAAAGCACAGATTTCCACTGGTCTAATGTCCATTCCTTGTGTTTCTTGGCCCAAACAAATCTCTTCTGCTTGTTGCTTTTCCTTACTAGTGTTTTTTTAGCGGCTATTTGACCATAAAGGCCTGATTCGCGCAGTCTCCTCTGAACAGTTGATGTAGAGATGTGTCTGCTACTAGAACTCTGTGTGGTATTCATCTGGGCTCTAATCTGAGGTGCTGTTAACTTGCGATTTCTAAGGCTGGTGACTCAGATGAACTTATCCTCAGCAGCAGAGGTGACTCTTGGTCTTCCTTTCCTGGGGCGGTCCTCGTGTGAGCCAGTTTCGTCATAGCGCTTGATGGTTTTTGCGACTGCACTTGGGGACACATTCAAAGTTTTTGCAATTTTCCAGACTGACTGACCTTCAGTTCTTAAAATAATGATGGACTGTCGTTTCTCTTTACTTAGCTGATTCGTTCTTGTCATAATATGAATTCTAACAGTTGTCAAATAGGGCTGTCAGCTGTGTACCAACCTGACTTCTGCACAACACAACTGATGGTCCCAACCCCATTAAGAAGGCAAGAAATTGCACAAATGAACCCTGACAAAGCACACCTGTGAAGTGAAAACCATTTCAGGTGACTACATCATGAAGCTCATTGAGAGAAGGCCAAGGGTTTGCAGCGCTGTCAACAAAGCAAAGGGTGGCTACTTTGAGGAATCTAAAATATGAAACATATTTAGAGTTATTTCACACTTTTTTGTTTACTACATAATTCCATATGTGTTCATTCATAGTTTTGATGCCTTCAGTGAGAATCTACAATGTAAATAGTCATGAAAATAAAGAAAAAACATTAAATGAGAAGGTGTGTCCAAACTTTTGACTGGTAGTGTATTTCACCACAGAACCTTTGTTTTATAAAATATCTCCGTCTACATATGAATGCAAAAAAGCTTTCAAACAAACACACCTGCCCAGTAGATGGCAATAAAGTCTACCTCAATGATACATCAAATGCCAGACCGGGTTCTGAGCATGCGTAGTGAGCCTTTTAGCCGGTAGTAAGTTAAAAACACAAGCAATAGTAGCTAATTATTTATTTATCTATAGTTTTTTGTCAGGTATTTCTTCACACACACACACACACACACACACACACACACACACACACACACACACACACAGTGCTAGAGGCTAGAGGAAGAGTTTGTTGTCAACAATATCCATATTCGTGTGGACAAGGCCTCAGCCTAACACTAATTTGTAATCCTTTGTTTCTTTTGCTGTTAAACTCATGTCAAATAATAATTCATTTTTCAAATTAGTCTTGTGTTTCTGAAGTTTTTAATTTCTAAATGGAAAATAATATTTTTGGTACCTTTTACAAGCTATTACATGCCATTCATTCCAGAAATATAAATAAAACTGATGCTGATCAGCCTTTAGCTAAAGACATACATTTTAAAGTGAATGCCCTCCTCAATCCAGTAAATCACAATCTTAACAAAGGCAGTCATTGGGTAAGGGAGGTGCTATATTGCAGTTTCATTCAACTCAATACAGCATGCTGCTTGGTGACATTTCCCTCAAAGGGTCTTCGGTTTATGCAGTGGTAATTGTCTCCGGCCTTTATTACTGAGAGACCACTGATTGAAGCTGTTGTATGCACATTGATTTACATGGCTGGGGCCATTCTCTGCCATATCATCGTAACAAGAGAATACAGTCACTCAAGGCTTTATAATGAATAATGCAACGATAGACTCTACATCCTGCCTTCATCATATGTGAATACACAAATAGATTCAAAAGCACACACACTTTCTACATCAGTGAAATGGTCTTTCCGTCCCTTTGAAGGATTAACAAGAATGTCATTTAAATGCCAATCAGTGAAGCTCTTGGCTAGTAGACTGTGTTGCTGGTAATATCTCTGTTTGATGTTGTCGTCTTTATCTTTATTTACACGTGTTGGGTGTGGTTGTCCACCAGTACTTAAATGTTACAGAGCTAAAGCCCTTAAACTGCAAGCCAAGTAACTTCTACACAACAAAGTAAAATAAACTTTTCCTTAGACGTATGTATACCTCACAGATCATTTCAGTTCAAATGTGTGTGGTATTTTTGACACTTTCTGACACATACTTCAAAATATTTTCACCTTCTATCATATGAGTGTTCTCTGCTTTCATCCTCAGATCAGAGTTTTAGACGCTGCCGACAGGACTGAAGTAGAAATCTTGATATCTCGTGTGGCGCAGATTGGGTGCGGAGGACCTAATAACCGTATCAGGGAGGATGATGTGCTTTAAAAACATCATTCAAAGTTCAATGCACAGGGTTAATTTTAATGCAGTGTTCAGTGAACTGAAGTGTTCCTCTTCCTTTGATAGGATTAAAATGGATGTTAATTAAATAACAGTTAACATAGTCCCTAAGTCGACTGTGTGTGTGTGTGTGTGTGTGTGTGTGTGTGTGTGTGTGTGTGTGTGTGTGTGTGTGTGTGTGTGTGTGTTTGTGGTTGTAAGTGCTCATGTTTGATGTCAGGACTTGTTGTCTTGATGTATAGTGTTAAACATCTTTTTAACATTGGTTAATTCAGAGCACCGTCGAAAGTCTGTCTGGTCAGACCTGATCACTCAGAGCGCTCTTGACACTGAAAAAGTCAGTAGAGTGGTGTCTCCTTCCTTTTGATGGCACTACCATGCCACTAACTGAAGCAATAAGTCAATTGACCTTGTGAATATGGCTGACTGAGTACGTTTCTGAGGTCAGTGTTTTTATTTCGAGCTTTTTAAGTCTCGATGGAAAGTTAAAAACGTCAGGTCTTTCTATAAATTTGTACTCCGAATGTGTGTTCTGCCTCCACTCTGGGCCATTGGTTAATTCAGAGCACTTTCAGAAGTCCCTGTGGCATATTCAGAGCTTCGCCCTCTCTGAATATTCAGAGTACACTCTGGGCTCTGGCCAAGGAGGAGGTGCTGCAATGCCTTCCAATGTTTATACCACTAGCCAAATGGGAGCAATCTAACCCCGGAAGATTTCAACTAAGCTAGCTTTCAAAAAATGTATTTGATACTCTGTGAATGCATTTACACATCTTTTTTTCCACTCTTTACCAGTTGAACCTGAGTGCGCTGTCTAGATTAATGAAAGGTTCTCTGTCCCCCATTCAGGAGACACAAAACGTATGAAACCAGAGAAAGAAAAATATTATTTTAATTTTATGAAATGTTCTATGAGTCTTCATTGAGTTTTTTGAGCTTCTGTCTTGTGTTTGCGTGCATTCATGGATTTCTGACCCATGTTTGCGTGTCTACTTGTGTGTGTTAGACTTGTCTCTTCCTTTTGTCACCATGTATGTGAGGGGAAGGTCAGAGCAGGTAAGGCCACGTGTTGCCGTGGCACATGGATGAGGTGGGAGGTTGTTGCCAAGGTAATTGGCCTGTTTGTTTATGTTTTCTGCTCTCCTAGAAAACACCATTGTATCTCTAGCACCACAGCACATAATTACTAATTACATACATAGGTCATTAATGCTCTCCTGGGTAAGAAGGGTCAGGAGTCTCAGCTTTTCACAACAAATGAAGTGTCAGAGCCCAGTTTTGTTTTTTGTTTTTTTTGTTTCTGATACCGTATCTAAATATTTGAATCCACGCTTATTTGAAAAATACTTACATTTACTGTAATTACATTTCTAAGCTATTTCTATTTATACTGATTGATTTATACACAATATGTCATCACACACCCAGCATGCTGAAGTGTGGGAACCCCTTGTCTTAACAGATTCCTCTTGTACCTGGCATAAGGTGTGCTGTGTAGGGGAGCAGCCAGAACAGATCTTTGACCCAAACCAGCCATATGGCCCCAACATGGATGCACAAATACAGGCCATATGGTCCAGGAATGGCTGCTGCTGCTGTCGTTTGGTTTCTTGTGGAGTATTCTTAGCGGTTCATGTTGAGTCTTTAATGTTTTTTTTAATGGAGGTGCTGTCTTTGCCTCAGTTTCTATGTTAACTCCCGGGAGGAGAGAGAAAGAAAAATACAGAGGGTGGTGGGGGGAATTAACATACAAACAGCGTGGTATTATCAGTCCCTGTTATTTGCATGTGGAGCAGTTCCCAGGGTTTAAATGGAGGGTGAAGCTTTAGCATCATCTAATTAAACTGCCTTAAGCAGCGCAACAGGCTCCCTCTGCACTGCTGGACAGATGTTGGAAGTTTATGTGAAAACTTCCACGGCAAGCCGGCAAGACAGACACAAGATGCCATCGTTCATCATATTTCACTCAGCCTGCAGTGATTAATCAGATGATGAATAGGATTTGACATATCAATTTACCAATGGACTTGTAGAAGTGAGGGGTATTAAATGCGCTCTTCAGTAACCTGGCCCATGATTAAGACTAGAGAAGCTGTCTTTTGGTCAAATATAATCCAGACAAATGAACTTTATCCTGCCTATCTGTGATGTTTGGTTGCAAATATCCTTTCTAACAGTGTAAGCAGTTGTAATTTTAAATTTTATGTTAAAGCACTATCTAAAAAACACTTTGCAACCATCAATGATGTGGACATTATTGCTGTAGTTGTAGAAATACTGCCAACAGGTCTTTATTTTGATGATGCCTCTTCAGGATCTCTGCAGCTCTGTCAGTGCCTGTCCTTGCTACATGTATGGGAGTTCTGTAATCCTATTGATACACACTGGGAGATGAGACTCAGAGGGAGAAACATGGGATAGTAGGATTTAACTCATACTCCAGCCTTAGATTTACATCCAAATCCCATTTGTGACGGTGTGTGAACTAAACATAAATATTTTTTATCTTGTTGTGTTTATTCACATGAGATATAAGTAACATATCTGGATATCATCAAACAAGCTCTATAAAGGTAAGAATTAATACATTTGTAGTGCTAACTGCCATTAAGAGTGGCTGGTTAGTATGAACCAATCTCCTGGAGGGGTCTTATATAGTATCTATAGCATGTTGGATTAGGTCTTTTTGCTTTGCTTTTCCTCTGTGTCATTGAAAACACATCTGCA